TCGCTTCCTCTTCTCATGGGAAGCTGAGACTGTGCCGGGGCCCAGGTCCAATTCTGGATCTGCTCCTTCCTTACAGAAGGGCTTCAGGCCAGCCGCCTCCCCTCTGAGCCTCAGTTTCTTTGTCTGTAAAATGGAGAGAATAGCACACCCCCCACAGGCTGGTGGGAGGAGGACTCGTGGGCCGGCAGTGTTCCAGTGTGCAGTCCCGGGACTTGCAGGAGAGACCTCCCCACCATGGGCTTCCCCCACAGCCCACCCCTTCCGGCCTGCATGCCTTATCATCAGACAGGTTGGACAGGAAGCAGATGGCTGGGTAGTGCCTTCCACAGGGAGAGGAGCTGGGTTGGTGCCCTTTGCTTGCCAGCCAAGGCTCTGAGGCAGTTTGCAGATACCCCAGAACATCCAGGGTTGGAGGGGGCCGGGCTGTCTGAGGTCACACAGCCAGAAGCTGGGGCCGGGCAAGGAGCATTGAGAACTGAGCCCCCCAAGCCCCCTGCCAACCTCCATGGGGCCAGAAGAGACTGCTCGTGTTAGCCCCCATGGCTCTGGAGCCCCAGGGCTGGGGTTCAGACCCCAGTACACCCCTCACTTGCATGACCACATGGTCCAAAATATTTAAACCACTCAGAGAGCTCAGAATAAAAAGTTATTCTTCCTTCCCCCCAGGGGCTACCACAGATAGCACCAGCATATGTGTATATGTATGTATTATATGTGTGTGTATTACACATGTTTATGTACATGTATGTGTGTATGTATCTTATATGCATGTATATGTATAATGTATGTGTGTGGGTATATGTGTATATGTATGTGTACATGTATATATATCCATGTGTGTATGTACATATTTGTACGTACATGTGCATGCATGTATATGTATATGGTTTCCCTCTCCATTCCCCTGAAGGTGGGAACTCTTCACAGGGTCACACCTTGCTTTTTTCACTTAACGACATGTCCTGAGAATGGGAGCAGGTGAGGACTAGGGCAGCCTCAAGGGGGCACTTTGGCATGGTTTATGGAATTTGGGAGCATACACACTGCGGCCAGTGGCCTTCTGGGATCTGGTGTGGCTTTGCAAGAGCAGAGCTGGGACAATCTCTGTGCTGTTGGGAGGGCAGCCTTCCGGTGGACAGCTTCTGGTGGTGCTGGCCTGGCCAGAGCATGAGCCCAACAGGGAGTGTACCACGGGGCTGCCCGGAAAGCAGCAGCACGGGGATCCGCAATGCTATTTTCTGGGTATACTTGGGAACCTGGGGGCCAGGGACAGGTGACTGGCCCAGGGGTGGAGGTAGCTTTCCCTGTGTCTCAGTCATCTAGTGCTGCTATAACAGAAATACCACAAGTGGATGGCTTTAACAAACAGAAATTTTTTCTCTCACAGTCTAGGAGGCTAGAAGTCTGAATTCAGGGCACTAGCTCCAGGGGAAGGCTTTCTCTCTCTGTTGCTTCTGAAGAAAGGTCTTTGTCATAAATCATCCCCTGGTCTAGCAGCTTCTCAGCAAAGGGACCCTGAATCCAAATGATACACTCCACTCCCGGTGCTTCTTTCTTGGTGGTATGAGGTCCCTCTCTCTGTCCGCTCACTTCTCTCTTTTATATCTCGTAAGAGACTGACTCAAGCTACAACCTAATCCTATAGATTGAGTCCTGCCTCAGTAACATAGCTGCCTCTGATCCTGCTTCATTAACATCATAAAGGTAGGATTTACAACATATAAGATAATCACATCAGATCACAAAATGGAGGACAGCCACACAATACTGGGAATCATGGCCTAGCCAAATTGATACAGATTTTGGGGGGCCACAATTCAATCCATAACACTCTGTGTGCTCCGTATCTTTGGAATTTTGAACCCCATGAATTTACTACCTAAATACAAAGCACCAAAGCTAAGATGGGCTTTTGGAACATGCAGGCAAGAGGGGCCTGCACATTTTGCCAGAGAAGATATTCAGGCAGCTAACAGACACATGAAGAAATGCTCACGATCACTAGCCATTAGAGAAATGCAGATCAAAACTACAATGAGATACCATCTCACCCCCAACAAGGCTAGCATTAATCTAAAAAACACAAAATAATAAGTGCTGGACAGGTTGTGAAGAGACTGGAACGCTTATACACTGTTGGTGGGAATGTAAAGTGGTACAACCACTTTGGAAATCGATCTGGCACTTCCTTAAAAAGCTAGAAATAGAAGTACCATACGATCCAGTTATCCCGCTCCTTGGAATATATCCTAGAGAAATAAGAGCTGTCACACGAATAGATATATGCACACCCATGTTCACTGCAGCACTGTTCACAATAGCAAAAAGATGGAAACAACCTAGATGCCCATCAATGGACGAATGGATAAACAAAT